CCCGCCCTCTCCTCCCCAAACACCACGTCGACAAAACCATGGGAAGCACTTCCGGTTCGGAGGCGCGCGACCTGCGTAGCTACTTCCGGGTTCCCAATTCGTTCGCTCCTTTCGCCACGCCGCACAGACACCGGCTGCCGCCGTCTACTACATCCGGGCCCCTCGCAGTGAGTTTCCCCGCTTTGCGCCCGCTGCCCCCCCCCCCCGTGGCGCAGTCTAGCTCGCGGGCCCCTGGTCACGGTGCCGGGCTGGGCGCTAGGCCTGGTCGGTGCGGCTTCCGCTGCTCCCCCTCCTCCCCCAGCCCAGCGAGAGCCGCTCCCGGACCTGCTCCGACTCATTCTCCCCTTTGCCCCTTAGCTGCTGCTGCCGCCGCCGCCGCCGGGTGCTGAGACCCCCTCCCCGCTCCACCGGGGAGATGCTGCTGCGGGGCTTGCTGGGCCCTGGTGCCGCGGCCTGGTCCGCGATCTCGGGGTTGCGAGGGCTGGTGCTGCTGCTGTGCCTGGCGGGCGCCGTGCGGGCCTCCGAGATCACGTTCGAGCTGCCCGACAACGCCAAGCAGTGCTTCTACGAGGAGATCGCGCAGGGCACCAAGTGCACCCTGGAGTTCCAGGTAATCACCCGCCCAGGCCGCGCCCCAGCAGCGCCAAGCGGTGCTTCGATGGGGGATCGTGCAGGGCACCCTAGAGTGCCAGATACACAGCTCCCTCACATCCATCGTCAAGACAGCTAGCTTGGGTCAAGCCCACGTCTTGTCTCTAGGCCTGAGGCACCGTTACCCACACCTCACTAAGCCAGAGGTACCCCCAGCTTAATAGTGTTTCTCTCAGCAGATTGCACAGGGAATCAGGTGCCCCCTGGAGTTTGGGGTATTTGTTTTGCTCCCTCTAGCCAGTTAGAAACGCTTAAAACAGCCACCCAATACACTGTAACCCAGGCAGCATTGCTTCATATTTCTAGCTCAGCAATAAGTAATGCTCTGATAAAGTGATCTTGTAGGGCACCAAGTGCACCTTGCTGTTCCAGATAACACGGTCCTTAAATCAGCTTAATATATACCTGTTTGCCAACACTACCTTGCCCACACAACCAGCCAGCTAGTATCCCATTTCCCTGTAAAGGCAGCTGTTCTACTGAGTTAACCCTCACCACACACCTGTTGGGCTCGTCCTCACTTTCCCTGCCTTCCCTTTCACTTTGTGCAGCTGATTGATATTTCTAACTCGTGAAATAAACAAGGCTGTCCCTGAATTTCATTGTGATTCTGAGTTCAAACCCTAAATCCTACTTCAATATTAGGTTTAAGTATTAACCAGTTGTGATTCTGGAATATTATTGCCCAATAACATGTATGCAAAGCTGTGCAATTGTTATGTGGGAGGCAAAGATGTAAAAGTGCTATGTTCTTGATCTACAGTAAAAGCATAAGTTAGTTGTAAGCTTCTTGGAAAACTTCCCAAAATGGATCCATTGTATGTATTTATGCATACATCACCTGTGTGTATCTGTGAAACTCGCATCAGCCTTGTAAAATGGGCACTTTGCCAAAATGATGTTGCTATAACAAGATATTCCTTGAGCTTCTTAGGGATTGTACTACTTGGAGCCGCCTTCATTTAATTGTTGAGACTGTTTGCCAGCTTAATAAAAGTGAATCACTTTTAACTGTACAACATTGCACTTGTGAAAGGCATTTAACTTTCTTGTTTTATCTTGTGTTTTGAGACTTGTTGGGGAAGGTAAATTGTGGAATTAGATTGCTACACTTAATATACTTGACATTGGAAGAATTGCATCTTTATTGGTAATGTGTATTTCACCATACACGTACAACCTGACAAAATACTTCTGTTGATAATAGAAATTTACAGATAGGCAAAGTAAGAAAAATGCTGCTTGAGAACTTGAGTCCTACCTCAATGTGTATAAAAACATGTAATAAGTGCTGCATAAAGCACATATTTACAGCTCTGATAAAACAGCCAGCTCTGATGTTCGCAAAGTTGAAGCTAAACAAAATTATGTAGCATTCATAAAGCTGTAACTGTTTTTTTATCTCATGGTCTACTGTCATCCACATAATGTTCCAAAACTGTGAAAGTTTAAATCAGTAAAAATAGAAAAAACTGCTTAAAAATAAATATTGATATTATCCATCAAAATTATATATAAAAAGGTGAATTCTGCCAAGCCTAAATAGAATACATCATAAATAATTATGAATTAATGCAGTTGCTTTTCAGTGTTTAACATGTGCCCATGCTTTCTGGAGGAATTGTGCATCGGTGAATTCTGCCCCAAATGTCTTTCAGCTTGTTCTGCACCCATAGAAAAATCACTCTGGTGGTTTTCTATTTCTCTCAGTTTTGTCTTTCAAATCTAGCATTAAAACAAGTCCTAATCATTTGATACTTAGCCAAATTAGTTGTAGCTCTTTGGTAGTAATTGAATCTCCCACTTGTAGTTAAAGATTGTTGATCTAACGTGCAATTTCTGAGGCTGCTTGCATCTAAAGAAACTAAATGATTTCTTTGAATAGTGACACTGAAATATTTCAGTCATCTGTATTTTGTTGAGAAGAATTTTCCACAAAAACTGGGCTGCTTCTTTCCGCTATCTGAGCTATTTTAATTTGTATGAGTGGAAGTCTGTCCTAAAACATTTATCTTTAATTTGTTTAAATGTAATATCTTTGGGTTAAACCTTTCAAACTGATGCACCCATTTGTATCTGAATTGTGGAAGTTGGAGATAAGACCTGTTGGGGCTAATCTATCCTCTGCAGAATTGTTGTTTTCTAGTGCTTTGTTTAATCTGTTTTAAAATTTAAGTGTTGTTTCTATCTTCTCCAATCGTAGGCTTTTGAACAATCTGTTATAGACATTGCTAGTCAGATGAGCTTGTTGTCTATAGATGCACTCAAAATGTTCGTTTCAAAAGGGGGTAAAATGCTTGCTCACATTTAAATTTGTACCTCATTGTTTATCCAGATATAAATCAGTGGTTTCTAAATTCGCCAAAGGCTTTCTTTTACATTGCTTATAGGTTTGTCAATGTGATTTCAGGTGCTGTGAAAATATTTTGTTTTATATATTTTGACTTTGAGTTTCACTCAATCACATGAGGGTTTGGGACAGTTCTAAGCTTTGACTAACTTAATTCAGTGTTGGGAGAAGACACAAGCTCTGCTCGAGGGAGGCAACAGTATTCCTAAGTCTGCATTAAAATCCCCTAAATGCAACTGCAACAAAAAAATTTCTATAAAGTTGTGCTGAAATCAAACCTATCTGACTTGTTTCCACTGAAATTTAGAAACTAGGTTTACTATGAAGACTCTGTCTAAAACCTATAAAGAATTCTTAAATGCATAGTGTCTGTATCATAAGGATACAGCTTTTTTTTATTTAAACCTAGTACAGTGGAGTCGCATCTTACGCGGGGGTTAGGTTCTAAAGTCAGCGCATAAGGCGAAAATTGTGTATAGTCAAAATTACCCTTGAAAATCCCTTAAATCGCCCATAAAGTACAGTACTGTATACTCAGAGGTGAAAGTAAGTCAGTATGGAGCCCTGGGCCCTTTAAATCGCTACCCCGGGACTCTGGCAGCGGGGCTTGGGAGGTGATTTAAAGGGCCCAGGGCTCCAGCTGCTGCAGGAAGCCCCGGGCCCTTTAAATCGCCAGCCTGGGGAAGCCAGTCTGGCACGGTGTACTGGCTCTTGCCGGTAAGCCGTACAGGCTTACTTTCACCTCTGACAGTATCTTTAAACACTAGAATCACACTCAGCGCCGCGAGATGCTCACACTATGAGAGGCATGTAGGAACTGAGACAGATTGAGGGAACAGCAGATTCACGTCTCCCATCTCACGCTCACTCCGGGGCATATGCTCATTGACTGGAATGGTGGGCGGAATCGTTATTTTTTTTTTGCCGAACGCGTATAATTGAATTCGCGTAAGTTAAATGCACGTCTGATGCGACTCCACTGTATGCTTTTCTCTCATTTCCAAAACTATGCTGATAAAGATTTGGGGGGGAAAAAAAAGAAAAGGGTGGGGGGACATATCCAGTCCCCATTCTTATGCCACTCTGCAGCACAAAGCAGGAAGAAAGCTGGCTTAACATGTCTGTGTGCAACACCCTTCCAGTCACGTCGGAAGCAGGTGTAGGCTGGGACATTGTTGCATTCTGGCAATTCCAACCTGCTGGAACAGCTCCAGCCTGTTTAATGCTGTATTGGTTTTTCTGGACTTGAAAAGTGGGCCTAAAATACAGTAAATCTTACTGTTCTAACACAGTATTACTTTAATTTTATTGTCTCCTTGTCAGGTTCTTGTACTGTAGCTATCACTGAAGTATCTGAGAAACTTAAGTAAAATAACTTAATTGAAATGAAACTTTCTCTCATGTATTTATATAAATTAATGTTTGAAAAAACTTATCAATCTTCTACAACTGAGTGGATGTACAGTATTTTATTCTGAGTTATTCTTGTTTTGTTAGTGTGTAAAATCCAAGTTCATTCCTGTAGGCCAATATAAATTAATACTCTTGAATTGAACAACTTCACTGGTGAACTCCGGTTTATTACAGCTCTCTGTATCTTCTCTAGTCCTGGTTTAGTGAATTAGTTAAATTAAATAAAATACGTCAGATCGAATGACTTGTAGAGGTGCTTAGATAACTGTAATACTAAGAATAACTTTCTACTCTGTTAAAGTGCCAATAATCTTTCACACTCCACAGGTGATCACTGGAGGGCATTATGATGTTGATTGTCGGCTGGAAGATCCTGATGGCATTGTGTTGTACAAAGAGATGAAAAAACAGTATGATAGCTTTACCTTCACTGCATCTAGGAATGGAACATACAAATTCTGCTTCAGCAATGAATTTTCTACTTTCACGCACAAAACTGTGTACTTCGACTTCCAGGTTGGAGAAGATCCACCTCTGTTTCCTAGTGAGAACAGAGTCACTGCACTTACCCAGGTAAAGGGCTGATTTAAAGTGACTTGATGGAAAACAAAAGATGGAGCAGATAAGGCTTGGATTTTCAAAGGAGCCTAAGAGGGTTAGGTACCTACATTGCATTGAAAGTCAATAAGACTGGGCATCTAACTTCCTCAGACTTCTTTGAAAATCCCAACCTGAGTTAACTAGGGAGCTCTATTAAATCAAAGACTTAATGTTGTTAACAATGAAATTTTGTCTGCTTAAAGTTTGGATGTAAAACTGAGCTTCTGCAAACTGGAGTAGCAGTCATTAATCATAGAAGTAGAACTAAGATTTAGGGATTTACCTCCCAGTTAGCAAAGAGCAAAGTCATTCACAACAGGACATTGTTTAAGGAAATGATTAGGATGAGACGATGTTGGAGGAATACTACGTTGCAGGGTCAGGAAGGAATTCAACAGCAGACATAGTTTCTAGACATTGTTCTGGAAGGAAGTGGCAGGTAGGCAAGAGGTGGCAAGGAAGCCTCTTCCACTATTTTTGTGCCTCTTTTTTATAGGCTGTGGGTCAAAGTAGAGTTTAATTGGACCTTAGTATTATATTGAATTTTGTTTTGGCAACAGTGGTATGTGAATCTGTCTGTAGCCACAAGAGGTCCCTGTCTCAGCATGATTTGTGGAGATGAATGGGATTGCTGGAAAGAAATGTAGTGTGGATGAATAAAATGCACTTGAAAGGTTACAGAGTAAATATATTTAAATTCACAATATTTTAGTAATGGCAACTCATCTTTTTATACCATCATGGTAAAATCTTGAGATTTTATACTAAAAGCTTATCTGCTTTTCCTCGATGATACTAACTGTTTAACTAAAAATAGCTACATATGATAAGACTAATAATTCTCTGAATTGTTTATATCACAGACAGGTATATTTTCTTAAGGAAGCTGCATTTCAGTGCTGTGACTTCACTCATGTCTGAAAGTTGAAGTGTTGGTGCTTTGAACTTTTCAAACAGTTTGTTTCTAAATTCTACCTTTCTGTAGAAACATCAAGTAGTAAAAAAAAATAAAAATAGGCATTTACATTTCATGCCTCTTTTTAAGGAAAGTAAAACTGAATAAGATAATTAGGAAATGCCCAATTGAATATTTAGATTAGAAATCTGTGCAGTAAGTCAAAATTATGAGAAGCAAAGAAAAAGCTAGCAAAACAAATTAACTAACTAGATGTGAAACATGTTTTATTTTCAATGTTATAGATGTTTAGGGTTTTTTTATTTATGTACAGTAGGGCAGGAACACTGCTTCCCCATAAAAAAGGCTTCAACTGTGTGAAGTTTTATTCTTAAACCTTAGGTCTTATTTCTGATTTTGTTTTTTACATGTCTTTCTGTGAGCCTCACTTCGTTTCTCCTAAACACAAACCCATTAAATGTGTTCAGTACATTACCCACAGACACCTTGTGTGCTGCCAACTGGCAGCAAACTCACTCCAAAACTGCTATTTAGGTGAGTGTGCTCACCATTTCAGTACTTTGGAACCAAGGATATAAACACCATCCCCTACTATCTTTCTACTGGCCTGAGTGGACCCAAAGATCTCTCTTCCAGTGCGTTTCACAATCTTTGCTGTTGTCAAATGAATGTAGGAACTTGACTCCTGAGTTCAATTTCAGGTTTTGTAGAGGAGTTTGCTCTAGTAATTAGAGCTGTCTGTCTCTCTGTCCCTCTTCTGCTCCTATCTACCCTGCCTCTTTCTGGTTCCTGTCCCCCACCCTCTCTCTATTTTTCCCTACTCTCTGGCTCCTGCAACTCCCTCTCCTCCTGACCCATCTAATGCTGCTATGGTCTCTTTCTCTCCTTATCCCTGTGTGTTCCAGTGTGGTTGCTTCCTCAGTGTTGCCTGGGCACCAGCAGTGGGAGTATTGAGAACACTCGGTTCTTGTCCTGCACCATAGTGTCCCTTTGATGCCAGAAGGAGCAACTACAGGGGAAGTCCTATTCAGTGCAGGCAGACTTTTCAGAGAATTTAGGGAACTGAGCATGTATGAATTGCGACTTTTCTAAGTGCATGGCCAACTTGGACAAATTTTCACAGGAATGGCAAAAGGCATATCTCTGATACCCAGGTGGCCCCTGTCAAATATTAAGTCCCTGCTTCAAAGGCTCGAGGGTTTCTCAACAAATCACTGACATATTTTTTTTTAAATATGGGCAAAACAATGTATGTTTCCCTAATCTTGTTCTCTGAAATGGCTGACCCATTTTAGCTGAAACAAAACAAAAAGAACAAAACAAAAAACCTGAGGCAGACACTTGGCATAGAACATTTCAGCCTGAACAGTTAGTTTGGCCAAGTTCTAAGTAGCTGAAAATGGGGCCATATAATGGGAAATGTGAGGCAACTTTAATGATATATTTATGTGGCTGAGGGGGAAAATATTTAGTATATTGGTTAATGTGGGTTAGATGTGACAGAGCTTTAAAGCATATTAGTTGAGAGAATAAACATACTTGCATCTAAAATTACAGAAGTCCTGGCTATATATGCTCAGATACAGCATAAAAATAGAATTCTTCCAATGCTTTTCTAATTCAGAAATATTTTTTTTGTCTAGATGGAGTCTGCTTGTGTTTCAATTCATGAAGCTTTGAAGTCTGTTATCGATTATCAGACTCACTTCCGCTTGAGAGAAGCACAAGGTCGCAGCAGAGCAGAAGATCTAAACACCAGAGTAGCCTATTGGTCAATAGGGGAAGCCATCATTCTTCTAGTAGTTAGTATTGGGCAGGTATTTCTCCTGAAAAGCTTCTTCTCCGATAAAAGAACCACCACAACCCGTGTTGGATCATAACCAGTAGTGAAATGATGCTTCAGATCCACTGTACACTGTTCATCTGTAAACTTACTGTTCTCCAATTAATTGTAGATACAAAAGAACTAAAGATGGGCAACAGTTTTAATACCGTTTTACCCCTTCCCATTCATTAAAAATTACAAAAAGTAGTCAAAGTGAAAGGGACACCTTTTTATTTGAAATATTTGGAAAAGTTGAGAACTTACTATTTGATGTTTGTGTTAAGCATCCAGCAGTGATCTGTTTTTCCTTTATTTGTATTCACTGATTAATCTGTGGTATGCTTTGAAAAAAACCCAAATAGTTGATATGGAAGACAGTACATGTGAAAAATTGATGATATTTTAGCTTTTCAGGCTGAAGGTGTTGGATTAAAACCAAAAGCAAATGTGATGAACTGTAGTCACAAAGCATTGAACTGCATTGTTTTGATTTGCTCTGAAAAATCCAATCTTTCTTTGCTGTAAAACTTGCAAGTTAACACTACATCATGGCACAAATACTGTTCTTCTATAGAATGGTAAGTCTCCACCTTTCACACTTGTTAAGTTTTATTTTTAAACAAGTTTGTTTAAAAAAAAAAGACAGACATTCTTCCTATATTAAAATATAATGCATTTCCTGTTTTACAATATTTTTTTTTATTGAACAAATTGTAAACTGAGACTACTCAGGAAACCAATTTTCTATACTCTATTAAAATCAAAATTTCCAAGGCTTTTTTTTTTTTATAAAATGCAATAAGATAGGGAGAATCCTGTAACTTTGTCACTGAAGTTGTGTAGTCTCTGTAGTCATGTATGCTGCTGTGGCTCTTCAAAATTAGGCAACAGAGGTAAACTGGCTTGTTAGGTAGCACAGCACTGACACTGGACATGGTTGTATGACATCTGTGTGAGGCACATACAAAGCTTTCTAGTAAATCATTATCCAGTCCAATTTGTTATTTATACTGCATTGTATCTCCATGGTTGTGATGCATTGATACATTGTTGCCTTGTGCATCTAATTGCCACTTCTGGTTTGCTAGTGGTCATGCAATGTTTCAAAAGTTTCAGGGTATCTTTTTTGGTAGGTTTGCAGTCTACATTGTTATCATTGCTTGTGTTTGTAATAGATGCTGTATTGTGTACTCTGAAAAGTCTTGTTTTATTAGAATGTGGAAGTTGGCAAACGTACATAAATTGTTTGAACGAAGGTATTCAAAATAAGGTTAAAAGCTAGTACAGACTAGTCGGGAAGGACTAAGGTAATCTTACCAATTCTCAAGTGCACAGGAGAAACAACAGCTAATCTAAAAACACAAGAAAATGTAGGGTTTTTCACTGATTTTCCTCTTAATTCAAAAGAGGTTGTTAACTTAAACTGTTAAGCTAGCGCGCAGTAAAAGGAGTGTAATTCTGATTTGTTGCCAGTGTTGATCAGATATTTCCAACTCTGGAGAAACTAAAGTTTGTTTTTATATATATATTTATTTATATATATAAATAAAAATGTCATACTTGGGCACATGGCAAAAAACTCAGGGCCATCAACTTAAAACAATTTAAAATGCAGTGGTTGTAATAAAAGGAGGTTCTAGATTTATTCTTACTGTGATTAAATCAATTACCTGTAGTCTGGGACATCCAAGAAAAATTTGAGCGAATTCTTATTTTAGGGGTCACTGAGGTTGGTAGGTGAAAAACAGGATCTTAGTTTAAGGAATCTAGTTGATATTCTCAGACCTTGTACTGAATTTTTTTAAAGCACCTACAACTTCCTTTATTTGGAGAGGTAAAAACAATGCCAGTGCCTGGTTACAACTTTGCAAAAATAAACTAGTGCACAGACTCGTTTCCTGAATGCCACAAGCCTGTGCCTGCATGTGATACTCTTCCCTGATTGTGCTTGGCTGCTTTATTCTTGTGTGGCAACAAGCTGATCTTCTGCAGGATTCTTACAAACTTAATTACATGCAGTAATAAAGCAAATGGGTTCAGTTAGGGCAAGTGTTGCACGTTTGCCATTATAACCATTTGATGAAAATGTGATCTAATTTTGGCAGTGTCCCATTGTAATCTTCTGAAGCTTGAACTATCACTTGTAAGTAGATCAGTTAATGAGTAGCTTTAATTGCAATGAAAACATTTGTTTTAAAGATGTGAAATAATTTTTTTTCTACATCAGTTGCTTCATGTTACTGTCAAAATTGCTAAATGGTGTAGGCCAAATATTGGTTTATATCGTCACAGATTCTCTCTCTCTCTCTCTCTCTCTCGGTTTCTTTCGTGTCTTTTTATTTTTTCCTGTTTGAATGTGTAAAGTGGAACTGTATAGCTCAGTATACCTCCCACTACAGAGGTCTTGTGGAATTGACTGTTAAATTGAAGTTGGGTATTCAAACCAATCCTCCTGTATCTTGCTGCATATTATGCAGCAATAGCTTAAAAAAAAGCCTTTATTTTTCTGTTCTAAAAACATGGCACAAAACCACATGTTTAAACATAGCTGTATATATTTTTTAGAATAAGTGACTGAATAAAATTAATAGGATATAATAGACACATGCTAACAAATCAACAGTGGGTGAAAAAACATTTTAAGGTGTGTGACAATTAAAGCTTCATCCTTTTTTATATTAAGGACATGGTTCAAATAAGAGGTGTATGGTACACAGCTAAATCACCCAGTGTTTGATAAAATACAATTTTATTATATACTGCAAAAGACACCAGTTTTTTACTATTCTTTGGATGTTTATGTTTACGGAATCTCTTCTTTTTTGTGGCCTGAAATGTCAATTCCTGTTTTAGTTTGAAAACATTTGTTAGTTTGAATAAGACAAAAGGCAGACCCTGTGAATATTGTATGGGAAAATAAAAATTAATATATGAACATGGTCTGAATGGATTTTTATTTTGAGACTGGATGGGAAAGGAGCTTTCTCAAAAGAAAACAAGTGAGATTGAGCCAGTTAACCTATATTTTAGAATAAGTATTTTTAAAAGTACTTATCCATTCATTAATTTATTAGATGCCACTTGATTGCTTGTTATCCACATTTCTTTAAATTTGAGATTGGATTACTGCAAGGCACTCCATATGAGGCTATACTTTAAGGCAATTTAGAGACTTGAGTTAGTGCAATACGGTTGCTTGCTTGTTAAGCAATGCATCATGAGTGCACTGCACCAGTGCTTTGTAACCTGCATCTATTGGATTGAGTGGAGTTTAAGGTGTAGTTTTGTCTTACAAAGAGACTTCCCTTTTTGTGATACTGCCACAAGTATGAGGTTTAGAGAATAGTATAGTTATCTAAATGTAATTATCTAGTTATATATTTAATCTGTACATATCAAAGGGGATCTAGGGGTTATAGTGGGTGACAAATTGAATGAGATAACAATGTGATGCTGTTACGAAACATGTCATTCTGGGAAGTTTTAACAGGAGTGTCTTGTATAAGGAAATAGGTAATTGTTTAGAAAATGACCCACGAAGAAAGATTGAAAGAATTGGGCATGTTTAGTCTAGAGAAGAGAAGGCTGAGAGGGGACAACAGTCTTTAAAATATATAATAGGCTCTTATAAAGAGGATGGCAATCAGTTGTTCATCTTCACCCAGGGTAGGACAAGAAGTAAAGGACTTAGTTTGCAGAAAGGGTGAGTTTTAGGTTAGATATTTTAAAAAAAAAATTAACTATAAGGATAGTTAAGCACTGCAACAGGTTACCTAGGGAGGTTGTGAGTCACCATCATTGGTGGTTTTTAAGAACCAGGTAGACAAACATCTGTCAGGGATGGTCTAGGTACACGTAATCCTGTCTCAGTGGAGCCATGGGGAAAGGAAGGACTAACTAGTTGACTCTCTAGATCCCTTTCAGCCCTACATGTCTGTGTCTAAGGCTTTGTCTACCCTGGAACCTGAATGACAAAAGTTTTGTCGTTCAGGAGTGTGGAAAAAAAACACCCCCGAACGACACACGTTTTGCTGACAAAAAGCGCCGGTGTGAACAGAGCTCTTCTGCTGACAAAACTACTGCCGCTCATTGGGAGTGAATGTTTTTTGTTGGCGGGAGAACTCTCCTGCTGACAGCGGCTATACTGTGCGCCTTTTAGTGGCACAGCTGAAGCGGCACAGCTGTGTCGCTAAAAGTTGCGTAGGGTAGACATAACCTAAGTGCCTAAGGCTGTAGGATAAGAATTCTTACAAATTTGCTTATACAGTACATGGAGTTCTGATTATTATTATACCAGACTGCTGCTAAGAAAATAAATATTTAGTAAATGAAGCAAATCAAAAATACTTTGAAAACTATTCTATTCAGCATTTTATGTTACCAATCCCCTTGGTATGTGGGCACCTTCCAGAATTGTGTTTAAAAATAAATAATTTATGCCCTTCCATTTCTTCTTCTTCCCCATCTATATAGTATTCTTTATTGGTTTTTATACTGTGCTCATTACCCCCATATCCCTTTAGGAGTTTGTTACATATTTTTGTCCAGCAAGTAATTAGTTGAAATGCTTTTAGGGAAAAGCAAGATTCAAGAGGTGGTTTGTGGTCATCCTTTGTTCATGGAATGAATTCCACAGACTCAACCAGCTGTCAAAGTTGTTTCCTGTATACCTAAGTGTTGGCTTTGAGATAGGACCAATGGAATCATCTAAGGAGACAAGTTGGTAGTAGGGTGAGGTAGCTCTTTGGTCCCTGTCTGTTGAGGTAGTTGAAGGACCGAGACATTAAACTTAACCTGATGTTGAATAAGGGAGTCATTACAATAGTAGCATATATGAGTAATATATCTTCAGTGTTGTATGCTGCTGAAAGTGTGAAGCTGCTCTTTTCCTGCACCAGTTAGTCTTTTCAGAGCCAGTGCTTCAGTCCAAGGCATTGCAGTAATCCCATCTGGAGGTAAAAAATGGTATCTGTGATCAGTCAGGTTGTTGTTGGAAAGGATGGGATGAAGTCTAACAAACTGATGCTATGACTCCGTCAGGAATCTAAGACCGACTGCCTGGATAATTTGGAGAGATCAGGGTAGTAGCCATCTCTTCACTATTTCATTATGCCTACCAGTTAACTAGCTTTTTTAACTAGCAGTTTGCTTAGGAATGGGGGATTTGACACTAGGTGATAGCTAGCAAATTCCAGTGCAACCAGTGAAGGGTTGGCTAGGATTGGCCAGTTCAGAGTGCTCAGTAACAAGGAATGCTGAATTCCTTCTCTGAAGGTGGGGTTCACTTAGAGAAGGAGGTCCTATTTATTCTTGACTCACTAAATTTCACCTGCCTTTTTGGTGCCCATTCCTTGGTAACTCTTTACAGTCAGCTTTAGACTTAACTGTCTTGAATAATTTTGTATCATCTGCAAACATTGCCACCTCACTGTTTACTCCTTTTTCTAGATCATTTATGAAGATGTTGAACAGCACTGATCCCAGTACAGATCCTTGGGGGATACTATTTACCTCTCTTCATTCTGAAAACTGACCATTTATTCCTACCCTTTGTTTCCTATCTTTTAACCAGTTACTGATCCAGGAGACCTTCTTTCTTATCCCACAACTTCTTACTTGCTTAAGAGCCTTGGTTAGGGATCTTGTCAAAGGCTTTCTGGAAGTCCAAGTTCACTACATAAGAACAGCCATACTGGGTCAGACCAAAGGTCTATCTAGCCCAGTATCTTGTCTTCCGACAGTGGCCAATGCCAGGTGCCCCAGAGGGAATGAAAAGAACAGGTAATCATCAAGTGATCCATCCCCTGTCGCCCACTCCCAGCTTCTGGCAAACAGAGGCTAGGGACACCATCCCTGCCCATCCTGGCTGATAGCCATTGATGGACCTATCCTCCATGAACTTACTTGGTTCTTTATTGAACCCTGTTATAGACTTGTCCTTCACAACATCATGCTGTATCAGCTATTGATCCCTTCAGAAAATTCTAATAGATTGGTGAGGCATGATTTCCCTTTACAACACCTATGTTGACTCTTCCCCAACAAATCGTGTTCATCTATGGGTCTGGTAATTCTGTTCTTGATGATAGTTTCAACAAATTTGCCTGATACTAGTTAGGCTTACTGGCCTGTAATTGCTGGGAGCACCTTTGGAGTCTTTTTATTAAAAAAATAGGTGTCACATTGGCTATTCTCCATCATCTGGTACAGAAGCTGATTTAAGTGATAGGTTACATACCAGGTTAGTAGTTCTGCAATTTCATATTTGTTCCGTCAGAATTCTTGGGTGAATATCATCTGTCCTAGTGACTTATTACTGTTTAATTTATCAATTTGTTCCAAATCTCCTCCATTCACATCTTGGTCTGGGACAGTTTCTCAGATGTGTCCTCTAAAAAGAATGGCTCAGGTGTGGGAATCTCCCCCTCATCCTCTGCAGTGAACACAGATGCAAAGAATTCATTTAGCTTCTCTGCAATGGCCTTGTCTTCCTTAAATGCTCTTTTTGCACCTTGATTGTCCAAGGGGGCCC